GCTTGCATTCAAGATCGGTTTAATACCTTTTTTCAAAATATCCCTAAAACTAGGGGTGCTATCTTTCTTTACACCAGATAGATCAGCAAAGTTATTCTTGTCTAGATTATTCGCAGTTTGTTGTATACCCGTTAAGATTTCCATAGATTTATCATTATAGTCATTCCTCAGTTCTTCCAAATCAACTCTTGTGGTAAGTAGAGAAAATTTCTTATCGAGATATTCCGTTATGCTATTTTTCTTTATGACTGTTTCGGCCAATTGTATTACACGGGTAAATTGTGTCAAAATGTACGAAGAATTGCACGCAACCCCAAGTTTACCATTTGGATTTTCTAAAGAATACTTTTTAATTTCCTCTATGATGCTGTAGGCATTGTCATGAAAAGATTGCAATTCAGATTCCATACCGATCAAATAAGATAACAGTATTAATTATAATAAGATAATATAATAAGTATAAATAAAAGTATAAATATCCCTTATATCTCTCTACACAAAGTTGCACAGAGAAGATTAAGAGTGTGTGTATATTCAATGTACTGTACAAGAGCCTCTTTAGCCGCTACTCGAAAGCATCGAGTGGCGTTCTCACTTCCCAGGACCTACAGGTTGGATTTTGGAAAGCAGTGTTCGCGTTATGTGACGCTGTCGTTTACGGTAACGAAGCGTGATATGTAAATGATTGGATGCGACGAACAAACTACATAATGGTTCAATTGTGAATGTTATCGTGAGGAGTGTTTGTAAGCATGTGTTGTAATGAAACTGATGAAATCGTAGAATCTTCCATCGAAATTCGATGAAATTCGTGCCGATTGATGCATTAAATAATTTATCCTTACATTATATACAGTAATCGTCAAAATCTAACAAATGACGCAGGAGACTATTTTTAAGAACTGGAAAATGTTGCAAAGCACACTTAGCACGATAAACTACTGTCAAGCTACGTAATTATAATAGGACAAGCAATTAGAAAATTCCGCCTGTCTTTTCCTTGTCTGGACAACGGAGTTAGATAGATGAAAGACGAGACCAGATATGGAAACTTAGGGGCAGCAGGACACCCGGACTATGTACCGACTGTGTACGAACTTCCGATGCAAATCAAAGTCACGTTATTTACAAAGTTGCAAGTCTGTAGTCAAGCAATCGCATGAAGAATGAAATGACATTAAACCGAGTTTCTCGATTACATTCTAAAAATACGTTTTTAACATTAATGGAAAAATCCTCAACAAATATAATTACAAAAAGCGATTTGTACATAGAAATACTAAGCCTATTCGTGTTAAATAATGCTTCCTCTACTTAGTAACAAATGAGTCGTTAATTAATGATGTGAAAAAATGCAAAATATGAAGGACACGATGACTCAAAGATATCAGTTATCAAATGAGGTTAAAAGAGCATGACAGGAAACACGTAGTTGAAAAGATGGCTTACAGTCGTCGACCAAGAGGATTGCTTTGAAGGTGATAGTTTTAAACTATTCAAAGCAGGCTTTTGCATCCTACCACGTGCAAATACAATAGACACGATCTGTTCGCTTTTTATTCTCTATTTTTGCGCTGTGATGAAAACATTTCGAGTAGTATGTAAATAGATTGGTAGATAAAAGGGTTTTTTTTTTTATATTTCGAGTCTAGGGGGCGCTGTCGAGCAACCTTGGCTGCTGGTGACTTTTTGTTGGAGATTTTGTTAAGTGAATTATTGTAAATTACTGAGTCTTTTATTTATTTATTACCTAAGTTGGTACGTTGTTTTTTGCTTTATTGTGTCATTCGCTCTATTTTTTCGGAGATGTTTCCACGTACACCACCAGAAGCGTTAAAGCAAACCCAAGAAAAACGCAAGGGAACTAAGCATCACCGATCACCGAGTGATCCGGGTGTAAAATATCCAAAATTAAAACATTATTTTAAGAGGCAATCTTCTCCGGACTCAGATAGAGAAGAATTGTTAACCTTACGACAATATTTGAAAACGACTTTAAATGCAGTAATGATGCAGTTGAAGTGTATCGAGGATAGGCTGGCCAATTTGGAAATGGCCAATTAGTAAACTTTGTCTTCGGTAAGGAAATTGGAAACCGACTTTTCTAAAGTATGTTCGCGACTAGATAAACTGGAACAGCAACAACAGTTACCTTTGGATGACATTGGTGAGTTACACTCCTTTGCCTACGATAGACCAGTCAATGCTACGAACAGAAGCAATTTAATGTTGTTTAATCATAGTATTCCGCTGGAGTTGGATTTGCGGGATTATATTGTTAACTTATTTTTTAAGGAATTGGATGTTACTGATCTGTCCGGGCATAATATTGTCGGTGTTACCCGTTTGCGAGGTAAAGCTCGGGAATTTTATTGCATTCAGTTGTCGTCCTGGAAATGTCGAAATCATTTATTGCAAAAATTTCGGACGAGAACTTTTCAAGAGGGTAGGGAAAGATCGGTGAAATTTAGGTTGGCACCGGATCTGTCATTTAATTCCCGTGTTCGCCGTAAAAATCTGGTTACTTTTTTAAAAGAATACCGGGAAGCTGGTCGTCGTGTTTTTTTTGCGAGATGACGTATTATTTGTAGACGACAAGAGATTCACCTATTCAATCTCGGGCCATCGTTTAATAGAGGTGCCTGTTTCTTTTTTATTTTGAATTTTCCTCCCCGCAGGAGAATAGGTTTGGAGAGACTTTCAACTTCATCGTGCCCGGACCAATTTGGTTCAGGTAGTTATTTGGAATCTTTGTTTTTTTGGAATTGTTGTGGGTTTAGCACCAAGTGTTCTCTGTTGGATTACATGACTAATCGACCAGGTTTAATCTGTTTAGCCCTTGTTGAAACCTGGATGGTTTCAGTGAATGGAGATTCTCTTACTAACTTTCTTCCAGTTAACTGGAAGTATTTTATGATTCCAGCGGAAAAGCCATTGGGGCCGGGTAGACCCCGTGGCGGTATTTTGTTCTTTTTTGATAAAGTTAGAGGGATTGGAAACTTACCCTGATTTGATGGTGATTGGTTTATCACTAGGGTTTCTCATTTCCCGGTATTTTGCTTGTCCCGGGATAGAATTAATTATTTTTAAGGTATACAAAATATCTTGAAATCAAATGATATAATTATTTTCCATTTTTTAAAGTAATTTTAAAGTTTTGTAACCTCCAAACTCATATTAATAATGCTGTGTTAGGTCTATAGGCCTATAATAAAAATTACCTTTAAATAACGTAGAAATTTTCACAAATAGAAAAAAATTAATTAAAGTTTGCTGGAAACTGCATACAACAACAACAAAAAAAA